GCTAACTAGTATGTTTCGTTGGGCCTCGTATTGATAGGGAAGAAAATGAGTATAAATTCAATTTATCACCAATCCTATAGTTACATTATCGGACTTTTTAAATTATAATAATTAAATATTAGATTTGAACATAATAGATTTACAATACTTCTTTAAAGTAAATATTTAAATATTTAAATAATTTTTAATTATATAATAGCATAATATAATTTAAATTATTATCGCAACGCATCATAATAATCTCAAACACATTTTAAAAGAACTAGAAGCTACAGTAAATGGAAAAATGAAAAAGTGAGGCTGCAACTAATCAATATGTAGTTGCCTATAGAATTTCGTAAAGAAACCCTAAATTTTATTGTATGGATGAGATAATTATTTTTTTTTAACAGAAACTTAATCATGGTATCAAAAATAATTATTATTTTAATCAAAATATAGGCAAATTTTTCTAAAATAATAAGAATTTAATGTTTTTAAAAATAGAAATGAACAAATAAATTAAAACAACCATTTTAAAGAAATTTTGCAAGTAAATTGAAACAAAGGGACTCATTTCATAACTATTCTACTTAATCCCTCTCGCAGCCACCATTCCTTTCCTTACTCCAAACTGCATAAATCTTTCCACCAATTGGTAGCCCCTCCCCTTACACTCACCTCTCCTCCCAAAGCCCCATCTTGACTCGAGAACCCTCCTCAACAAAGCTCCATTTTCGTGCAAATGTTCGCAGGGTCTGGAAATAATCATCGTAAACATTAATTAGAAAGAATAATAGACGTTAATCCCTCCCTTCTTCTAAACCTTCTCTTTTCTTAAATTCGACTCATTTTCATAGATTAATTGGTACACTAAAATATGAATTATGAAAGCACAAAAACAGATTCACTCCGGTGGTAGGAATACCACCCATAACAAACAAGTTTTCATAATGGAGCAAAAAAAACTACCACGTCAAATGACAAATCGTTGCTAAAATTAAAATGTTGGTAGAAAAATCATGGCAGTCAATAATCAACAGAAAAAATTTATCAAGTCATCCTCTATCATGGCGGCCATTGAAAAAATAAAGTCCAATAGTGGCTAAGATCCCATTGATGAGAACAATACAGTTCGATGCAAAATTTCATTGAAAAGACATTAGGCAGTGCCGCATTTAAGCAGCAGCACCGGCACCCTTGCCCTTCTTCCTCTGGATTTTCTTCATGTAGAACTCCAGCTCTTTACCCTCCAATATGTACCTATCAAGTTCAAAAGGAAAAATTAGTAAAAGGACACATAGGAAAATAGTACCAAGTTATAAATGTAGTTGGGATCTGCAAAACTCACCCATCGGCTCTGCCACATTGACCAGGTCGTGAAGAAATGCAGGCCAACAATCTACCGGATCCAAATTGTTCTTCAATATGTGGATCAAGCTGGCGATCTTTTTGGCGCTTTTCAAGCTTCCTGAGAACATGGTTACTCTTCTTAATTTCCTCAACAGCACCTTCTCCTGCCTGACAGTCGTATGAACAGAAAGAAAAGTTCAGAAGTATGGAACTTGCTCTCAAGTTCATGGGATTTTAAATTGAAGGAGACTGGAGCCTAAAGAAACAGTCGATAGCGAGAAAAGGTAAAAATTTCACCTCTGTAGCTTCCTTTTTAGATACTGTCTTCTTCTTCCGACCAATGTCAATACCATAATGCTGAAGGTACCATTGCTTAAAGGGAGCTGCATCAACCTGAACAATGGCACTCTTCACCAGAGTTTGAGTTCTGACAAGCTCATTGTTTGAGGCATTATATACGGCATCAAGAATACGAGTCTTGCGAGTGACAGTCTCACTACCCCAAGAATAGTTGCCTGTATCCAATCTCAGAGCTCTCCACTTCACATTGCCTCCTCTAACACGAATTCTCCTTACAGTTTTGTTACTTGAGATCTTAGTGTTTGCAGGCTGACGACCGAGTTCATACCTTCCACAAGCACCGAATAAATAAGATAAGAATTGATAACCATCTTCTAAATAGTTATTGAAACAGAATAAAACATGATGAGTTAGCATAATGAACCAATAATGTACGAAATACAAAGAAAGAAGATAAAAGTCAAAACCAACACAAAATCAAGCCACACAAGAAAACAGAAATCAATCATGACAAACAGACATACATTGTCATATAATCTTCATGTACCTAATAAAGTAGCAGACAAATCCACTCCTCAACTATGAAACAAAAATGAAATTTAGAGTTTCAGGTTTATGTCCAAACAATGGTTTTTCTATAATGAGCCCTTAGGGAACATGATTAGGAAATAACTATTATCTAATCATTGTACTTTTTGACAATTGATTACCTTGAATATAAAAAAGTTAACCTTGATTTTACCAGCTATGCCATATGTTAAATCATTATTGGTAGTTTACTGAAATCAATGTCAACTTTTGTATTTTCAAAGCAATCAAATATCAAAAAATACAATAATTAGACAATAATTATACCTTTATCATGTGCCTAAGGGCACATTATAGACAAACTAATAAAACAAATCCTACCATAGTAACCCTTGCAACATGTTCCAAAGCTCAAGAAAATAAATAGATTCCATACATAAATAAGACAGGCAATTACATCTGAGACACCTGATGCTAATCAACTAATGTCGGTGGATTTCACCTGAAGCTAATCAGAGAGCACAATGATGCTTTTCACTTTTATGAAGAAGCTCTTAGGTTCAAATCTTACAAAGCAAAAGGATCCATATCATTTGCTAGGCAAGATTTGAAGCTAAGAACTACCCCAAAACCATCCTTTCTAACATATGAGACAACACAAAAATGCTAAGTATTGACAAAACTAGCAGATAAGCACAAAAAGTTGGTAAAAAAACTCACCTTTATCCATTGTCAGATATGCTATCATGTTTCACTTTCACCAATATAGATAGCAATATAAATAGTAGAGTATCTTTGGGTGTTCTAGGGGAAAATCATAAGTAGCAAATATACATACCTCTAGGATCCATAGTCTTACACCAATTTTGGACCTCATTGATCCCTTTAATGTTCAATGCGTGGGATTAATTCGCTTCTATTACTCTTTTTAGTAATTCCTCTCTTACATTAAATTCTTTCCTTTATCTCCCTCTATTCCTCTCTTGTATTTACTCCACTTTCTCTCTCTCCCATTGTTTAGATAAAAAGGAGACTTAGGAGAGAGAGGAGAATGTGGGAAATAAATGCAAGAGAATTCAAAAGAGAGAAAGTGGGAAACACATGTAATAGAAATGAATCTTAGTAGAAAAGAACAGATATGAATTATACAGGCAATTGAACATTAAAATGATCAATGGTCAGTAAGACTTCTTTCTCTTATGCCAGTGAAATGGATCCTACCATCCATAACAAAAGGTTTTCTACCTAGTACCAAACATGACACAAGGTAACAATAATCAGGTATCTCTCCTAAATTTGGTTTGGTAGTAGTTTTAATGAGAGGTTTTTCTATGTTTTGTTATGAAAAATATACCCTTATTATAAAAAAATTTTAAATTAATTAGACATTCACTTTCATCCCTCCTATCTCCCATTTCCTCTCTTCCTTTTCTCTCTCTTCCGAATCAAAAAGTAGGAAATTAAGGAAAAAAACAAAAAGAAGACTTACCCACATGCCTAATTAAAGTTGCCCCTTAATATGCCAAATATTCCTTCATTACATCAAAAACTAATGAAAACCAATTAATAGGATAAAGAGAAAGAAAAAAAAAATCAGTAAAAATAACTCAATTTATTGGAAATGAGTACCATAAAACCCAAGGACACAGGACACAAATAAGCAGGACAAATGCATGTCCTCAAATTCTTAATTGTTTCCTTAAAATTTCTAAAGAAGGAGAAGAGAGAGGCTCTACATCCAAGGACACAGCAGACAAACAAGCAGGAAAAGTGCATGTCCTCAAATTCTCAAATGTTTCCTTAAAAACTCTAAAGGAGAAGAAGAAAGAGAACAGAAACATGGGAGGGAAGGGAGAAAAGCTTAATTTTGATATTTTTAATTAAGACACATTTTTAACAATAAAAAAAAATTATTTGATTAAAACTGCTACCAAAATGAGGAGAGATATAACCTATTTATTGCTTGGTATCTTGTGCTATTAGTCATAAAATTACAAACATTTATAAACTAGGAGTGAAAAATTCCTAGTTATTTTGGCAACTCAAGGAAGCTCCTCATTTCATCCATATATGGATGACAAAGTTCTTGAACCAGCTTCAGAAGAGTTAAAGACCAAAAAGTTGAAAGTAGTACCTAAGAACCAATCAAACTCTTCCTATCAAATACAGAAAATAATTCTCCTATTCCCAACCAGTACGAATGTCACTCACCTAAATTGGACCATATCACATAAACATCCCTCCACCATGCCTCCGGCACAGAAAAGAGAAAACCAAAACACTCAACATTTAATCCCATAGAAAAAGGAATGCAACCGATTCTCAATTTGGTGGCAATTTATTAAAGAAAAAGAAACAGTTATTTGAACTTCTATAGAAACCAAGCTGTTCAAAACAAAACTTCTGCAGAAATCAGAAAGAATGCATAAAATTTCATATGCATTAACAATATGCTGTAAGTACAATCACAGAAAATCGGGGACATTTAGAAAACACAAAAGGAGAGAGTAGGGAATAAGCTTCTTACTTTCTCTTCTTCCTCCAAGCTTTCTTCTTGCCACCAGTGGCACGCCTCTTGTGCATGGAGTCCCTGGAAATACCTGAGGAAAAGGCAAAGAGAATGCATTTACGACAGAAGTAAAGATCGTAATGAACAAATCGAAATTACAAGTTTCTGTTTGGATGCCAAGAAAATGGAGATGGGATCTGTGGAGTACGTACCCATCTTGGCTCAGGGTAGCGGCGCAACTAAGTAACAGAGTTTCACGCACAAAGGCTGGCTTAAACCCTAGAAACCTCGCTTATATATGGTGGGGTCTTTTTTTTTTTTGCCAATTCATGGGTTGTTAATATTATTGTGGTGAGGTTAGTTTTTTTGGGCTATTAGAAAAACAAAAAAAAAAAAAAAGGAACGTTTTTCAGATTAAGAAAATAAAAAAATTACAACCAGCTAGTGTAAAAAATATGAAGTATGAAAAATGTCATAACATCCATACCTAATCGCATGAGGAATGAAATTTAGGCAGACTCTATTAGGATATAATCGCCCAACACTGACCCTGTGCGTTGTGACAGAAAATGGGCTTGGAAGTTGGAAGAGACCCACCAAGGGAATGCCATGAAAAGAGGTTTACCACACCATGACAAGTAAACTATAGTACAAATTGGACATTTTATATTTCGTATTATAAGTGAAAGTTATAAATAGTTGTCATTTATTGCTCTCAAGATAATAACACTCATCTAAGTTTTTCACTTTATATTTCTATTGTTGAAAATTTCTTTCTCTAAAATTTATAAATTATTATTGATTTAAACATCAAAATATTTATCTTAAAAAACATTATTAGGTTTTGTAGGTATTTAAATCACAGTATATTTAAATCCAAGTTACGACTTACTTTTAAATATTTTTTGCTTCAAAAAACTCAAATTACAACCCACCTATTTAATAGCTTTGATTGCACATTATAATTTTTCCTTTACTTTTTCATTTTTCCTATGAATATGTTTTTCAAATAATAACTTATTTCAAAATTGTATTTTGCAATTTAAATTACAAATATATATATATATATATAATTTTGCAATTTAAATTACAAATATATATATGTATATATATAATTTAAGTTATTAGAGTACCAACACCTTTCATGAATCTTATATTTAGTAAAAGAATTTAAATATTTTCACAACCCAACCCTAAATTGCCGTGCAAATTAAAAAATATATATATATATATATAATTTAAGTTATTAGAGTACCAACACCTTTCATGAATCTTATATTTAGTAAAAGAATTTAAATATTTTCACAACCCAACCCTAAATTGCCGTGCAAATTAAAAAGGATATTTATGTGAGTTTCCGACCCAATTTTTAATTTATTTAAATATTGTAAGTATGAGCTAAATTTAAAGTTATAAATAAGTGGAACTACTTGATTCAAATTGGAGTCAAACTCAACTAAATTTGAACTTTGAGTTAAGCACTAAAAATCAAATCGAATGAAGTTCAAGTCACATCAAAACTTAATTTAGCTCAATGCAACTCAATTGTATTTAAAAAATAATCGTATATCAAATACTTAAAATTTTAATTTTATTTTAATTTAAATCTTAAATTAAATTCAAGTACTTGGTCAATCTTGTGAACCAAATTAGAGTTCATGAATTGAGTTTGAACTGAATATATTTGAATTCAATAAAAACTCAAAATTAATTCAAATCATTACTACAACATTGAGTTTGAATTTGAATTCCAAAGAACTCGCTTGATTTAATCCAACTCATTTACAGCGCTATTAGGTTGATTGCTCTGTATCATTGTATGTATTACTCTGACTGGTATTAATTAAGGTTGTTATAATGAACTTGGAAGAATCGATACTGTGGTCCAATACCATAAGCGTAGTAAGAGGAATAGCTCATGCGAACAGGTTAACAGGCTATTGTTCTCCCCCTAAATAAAACAAAGTCGAATCCGGACCATTACATTTACTAATAAGTGAAATTTTGTAAGTTTAATATTTAAATTTTGTAATTAATAATTAAAAATTTAATATTTTTAAATACATTATATTAATATGACCTTTAAAATCATTTAAGAAAAAGATTGGTATTAACAAATGCAAAAGTTGAACTCAAAAACAGGTAAACTCATGCTTATGTTAAACATGAACATGGTTTCCCCAAGTTAGGGGCAGCGACTCGGGATCGTTAAGGGGTTGTTTGCACTTTGCAGTGGTATCCACAGGGCCATATGGACAGCTGGACCTATCTTAGAGGGAGAATAGCGGGTTATGCTGCTCGGAATGCAATTTGCAAGACATGTACCATAGAAGTTTGGTCACCGAGTCTGATTCAGTGCAAGCTGTTACGTAGGCTACTTAGTGAATGATTGCTTCCTCAGGTATGATGGATTGCTAGCCCAACTACAAGATCTCCTGGCTTCCGTTCATGGTTGTGCTCTCGTCCTTGTACAACTAACAACCAAAACATGATCATTTTTGTCCATCGGGATCAGGAAATGACCCCTGCTTCGAGTATGATCCACACTCATATAGCGCAACGATAACATGTAGAGGGAGATAACAGGTTCATTTCACTCGTTCTTGCACATAAACAAGGCACAACTAACTACTAAGATATGATCATTTTTGTCCCTCGCGGTCAGGAAATGACCCCTGCTTCGAGTATGATCCACAATCCTATGGCAACGATAACATGTAGAGGGAGACAGCAGGTTCATATTTTCACCATGGAAACCATTTTAGAAGAGAAAACAGAGTTTCGTTACTGAGATAAATGAAGTTTAAGAGCACACGGAACGTCACTCTTTAACTAAGTTCATACAATCAAATAAATTAGTCCATAAAATCTGTGAACAAACCCCTAGACACAGAAGAATCCATAAATTAATTCTCCGTGCAGAAGATAGCTTGCATCACAAATAAAATAGAAGTTAAAAACATTAAAAACTAGGCATTGTCTTTATAGGTGTGTCACAAATTAGGTGTTTGCTCTCTTTGCCTATCATGCCTTGCTATCTATGCTCATGGGTTCTGATTCCTTAGCAGCTGATTTCTGCAGAAACAAGGACATCACAGTTAGAATACATGAATAAAAAGGGGTGCAGGCAAGATTTGACCAATTCATTAAGGTTAAGACACCGACCAAACATTCAATTTGATAGAGAAGAGATCAATTACTATCAAGTCTTCAGTTTCATAAAGTTTCATAAAGGAGTCAGAGACTTACATTGCCTTCAAGAGGCTCCAACTTATTCATTTTGGCAAACATGTTGCCATAAAATTTGGCCTCCTTTTTATTGTACTCCTTGATCCTCTCCCTCAATGTTTTATATTCCAGCTTAACTTCCCTGATAAAACAACATAAATTGTGGTTCAAGATGTTGACACTATTGATCATACCAAAAAGACTTGATTCCACTTGTTGAGTAAAATAAAACACTGATACTATCCCTGTTTAGCAGCTTACCTATTATCAGGATCAATTTCAAGAGCTTTCTTGATATCAAACTCTGCCAGGTCTAAGTCTGCCAGCTGGATATAAGCCTGGGCCCTTCTATACAAAGCTTTCACATTCCTGCTTTCTAGATCTAACACCTGTTTAATACAATCCCATACAGTCAAATCAACTATCACGGAAAGAAAACACCAGAAAGGTTTGTGAAATTAAGTTCCAAACCTTGGTGCATAATTTTTCAGCTTGTTTGTAATCCTTCAACTTCAATTTGCAGGCTGCGTTGTTCAGATTGCATGCAACTTTCAGCACCTTAGCCTGTTTCTTCTCTTCTTCACTGAAGGAAGAATCATACTCAATACACTTAACAGCCTGCAATGAGAAAAATCAAGTAAATTTCAAGTATTGAATGAGTAAATCATCCCATATATGAACCTAATTGAAACTGGTATCACATACTTTCTCATATCTCTTAGAAGCTCTAGCGTATTTGCCAGCCTTGAATAATGCATTTCCTTCTTCCTTCTTTTTACCAGCAGCTTCAATCTTTTCTGGAATGTTCATGTCCCAGGCCTCCCTTTCCTGAAAAGGATTTCATGGAAAGTTTCAGACATGCCATCCATACCATGAAACATGAAGACAATAACATTACACGTTCGCTAACCTTGTCAACAGATACTAGCTCAACTTCATAATACACAGTGGAGTTAGGAGGTACTACAGCCAACTCCTGTTTTGACTCAGAGAAACCAAAAGCATACTCAGGCGCTATGGTGAGTAGAGCAACCTCACCCTTTTTCATTGTTATCACAGCTCTATCAAGGCCATCAATGACTTCTTCTGTAACAAGAATTCAAGTTGTCATCATGGTCAGACAACAACTAAAGTTAAGCCAAGAATAATGAATCATTGAGACAGATGAGTTGGGAGAGAGGGAGAACTTTTCATACCTTCATCAGTTTTGAACTCAAAGAGTTCATCATCATCATGTCCCTTCTTTAGGAAAACAGTATCATCTTGCAGTTTCCCAATCAATTTCACTAACAAAAAAAAGAATATGCAAGTGCAAATAAGAAGATTAATAAACTAATAAATGAGGTAAATTAGACTTTTCTTTTGCATGATTCTGCACCTACCTTTAACAACAGCTCCCTCATTTGGCCGCTCATATCCCTCTCCTTCCTTCAAGATCTTCTTGATAACCTTCTTGTCATCAGTCACCTCAGAGACAGTTTTCCAGGAAACCAGTTCCAGAGTGATCTGAAGGTTAGCATTAGGGGGCACCGCACATTCATCACCCGATGCAGGCTTTCCCTTCTCCCCAAATCCATCTGGAAGGTAATAGGGAACAATGTTAGATAACCAGCCAAGCATTCTGTCTACACTTCAGGACCAGGAAAACAAGATGGTGTCTTACATTGTGGTTTCACTGATAGAAGAACCCTCTCTCCCTTCTTCATGGTCTTAACCGCTCTTGCCAGTGCAGGACAGAAATGACCTGTTAACAGTAGAACATCTTGTTATACCCTTAAACAATAACTGAAAATGACATAGAAAAACGGAAGGGAATAGAAGACTAAGTAAGGATAAGTCATCAATTATACTTACCCTCTATAACAGTGAACTCAAGACCCTCAGATTTTGCCACAAGTGTTCCATCCTCAAGTCGAGCTTCATATTTAACTGCATTGGAATTATGTTTAGCTTGGTAGAAACTAGTTAACTCAAACATAAACCCATATTTTGATAAATAAGAATTAGAAATTAGTACCTAACACTTCATCAAGATCCTTAGGATTCTCCCATTTCTCTCCTTCAGTCAGAATCTTTTTAAATATTCCACCATCTCGGCATATATCCTTCACACTAGTCCAAGACAGCAACTCAACATCAAACTGGAGTGTCGCATTAGGGGGAATAGTTGGTGGTGAGCCAGACTCACCATACGCCAGCTCAGAGGGAATGGTGAAAATAGCGTTTTCACCTTTCTTCATTGTCTTAATACCTTGGTCCCATCCTTTGATCACTTGTCCTAAAAACAATTGAAAGGTAAACATCACACAAGACCAGAATGCTTCTCTTCAGCAGGCACAACATAAATGAACTAATATGCACATATGAGTAGATCAACAACAAAAAATCTTCTTTACGTAAGAATAGATAAGAATTAAGCTGCCATATTTTATATTTATCCTCATATTTAAGTCTTTTTCATTGCTTCATAATTTTCAAAAGAAATGGCAGTAAATAGGCAAATATATTGACCATCCACATAGTTAGTCTTTTTTCCCTCAGTTGTGAAATACACAAAAGTGCATAAACAAATCCCAACTTTGAAATCAGTAGAGCTAGTGGAAGAAAGTAATGACATAAGACTGAAATCGTTCATTCTAACTCCACAAAATCAACAAAAAAGTATTACCTTGACCGAGAGTGAACTTGAACGGATTCCCACTATCACGACTCGAATCGAATTTCGTCCCATCCAGCAACGTCCCAGTATAATGAACTGCAAGACAAAAAAATCGTTAGAACAAGGAAATCAAGAAAACCCAGGTATTCAAGTATGGTGTTGGTTATACCTTCGACTTCGTCGCCATTCTCAGGGGTATCCCAGCCTTCACCTTCCTTGACAAGCTTCTTCTTCAAGCCTTGATTTCCGATCTCCTTCTCCTCCCCAGCTTTCAGGGGTGGGTTCTCGTCTGGCAGATCCAAGTCCTCGTTCATCATATCGTCGGCCGGCGGAATATCGAAATCCCCATCCATTGCTTCCTACTACGATTAGGACGGGTTATAGAGAAACAAAGAAAGCTCTTCTGCTCAGAGATTAGGACGAATCTAGAAAGCGAATAGGTTTCTGGCTTGGAGAGCAGTCTAGAGAATGGGAAATTATAAAATGGAGTAAAAGGGCAACTTATGTTCTAGAGAGTTCCAAAGGTTTAGAGAGGAAGATGGTTCCAGAATTCTATTTATTTATTCTTTTTTTTCCTGTTTTTGTGACGGAATATTATATATATATAGATATAATTAAGGAATAAATTTAGCGTCAAGGCAG